GCAATGAATTCAGTGTTTCAGTTGTCCTTATATTGTGTTTGCTGAAATATGAGCAGGTTTGTGTTGTGAGGTACGAAGGGTTAGTGTGGTAGTGCTGTTTGTGTTGTGGTTTTGGGATGTTTGTGTTATTGGTCATGGTTGTGGGATTTGTGGGTTCTGGTTTGTGGTGTAGTGGTCAGTTCAGTTTTTTTGTGTTGGTTGGTTATGGTATTGTGTTGCTGGTGGTTGTTATGTGTGGAGTGGTAGTAGTTATGTGTGGTGTGGTTTTGTTTGTGGGAGTGCTGGTGGTTTGTTGTGTTGTGTTGTGGTTGTTATGTTGTGTTGTGTGTGTTGTTCATGGTAGTGCTGGTTTGGGTTTTTGGGGTGTGTGCAGTGGTATTGTGTTTGTGGTGTTTGTAGTGGTATTGTGTAGTGCTGTTTGGTTTGTGGTGTTGGTGGCAGTGTGTGTTTTAGTGTGTATGTTTTGTATGTGTAGTGTTGTCATGTATAGTGTAGGCGTTGTTCGTTTGGTGTAAGATTTCAAGCCACTAAGTAGTTGTGTTGCAATGGTATTGTGGCATGTTTGTGAAATGGTCCATGTTTGGGTAAGTGTCGTGTTCTTCTATGTGGGTTGGGGTTGTGTTGTTCAGTGTTTGTGTTTGTTTTGTTGTTATGTTTGTGTTTGTGTTGTGTTGTTCATGTTGTGTGTGTTGTGTTGTTTATGTTTGTGTTGTGTTGTTCAGTTTGTTGTGTTGTTTGTTTTGTTTGTGTTGTGTTGTTCATGTTTGTGTTGTGTTGTTCATGTTTGTGTTTTTTTTTGTGTTGTTATGTTTGTGTTGTGTTGTTTGTTTGTTGTGTTGTGTTGTTCGTTTTGGTTGTGTTGTTTCTGTTTGTGTTGTGTTGTTCATGTTTGTTTGTGTTTTTTCAGTTTGTGTTTTGTTGTTCATGTTTGTGTTGTGTTGTTTGTTTGTGTTGTGTTTGTTTTATGTTTGTGTTGTGTTGTTCATGTTTGTGTTGTGTTTTTCATTTTGTGTTGTGTTGTTTTTTGTTTTTGTTGGTTGTTCGTTTGTGTTGGTTGTTCATGTTTGTGTTGTGTGTTTTGTTTTCAGTTTTGTTGTTTGGGGCCCTTGTTTTTTTTTTTCATTTTGTTTTTGTTGGTGGGGGAGTTTAGTTGGTTTTCAAATTTGTGTTTTTGTTTAAAAGTTGGGGTTGTGTTTGTGTTCATTTGTGTTTGGGGGGGGTGTTTTGGGTTTTGGGGGGGGGGGTATGTGGGGTGTGGGGGTTGGGTTTGGGGGCATTGTTTTTGGGGGTTGTGGTTGGTTTTGGTTTGTGTGGGGGTTGTGGGGTATGGGGGGTGGGGTAGTTATGTTGGGGTGGGGTGGGTTTAGTTGTGTGTGGGTTTTTTTTGGGTTTTGTGGGGGGTTTTAAGGGGTTTGTGGGTTTGTGGTTATGTTTTGGGGTTGGGGGTTGTGGGGTTTTCAGTTTTGTTGTTTTTGGGATGGGTTTGTTGTTGGGGGTTGTGGGGTTTTTGTGGGTGGTGTTTTATGTTTGTGGGGGTTGGGTTTTTTTGGGGGTTGGGGTTGTGGGGGTTCATTGTTTTTTGTGGTGTGTGTTTTGGATGTGTTTAAAAAATAAAAGTATAGGGCCTGTCTGGGTCCATTAGCCAACAATGCTTTCATTACCTTCATCCACATTATGTATAACTTTAGTTGCAGTGGAAGAGTTTCAGCTCCTGGCCCTTCCTCTCTACCACTTTCAGATGTTTACATCCACTCGTAAAATGAACTAATAAAGAGGAAACATCTCAGCATGTTTCAGTTCGTCCTTCATCATTGTAAAGTTACAACTGACACAAGTGAAGGAAGCAGAGATGTCCTGAAGAAAATACTGAAGGAGGAAGAGAAGGAGGTAGTAGTGGTAGTGCTGGTGGTTGTGGTACTAGTGGTGGCAGTGGTAGTAGTTATAGTGGTGGTAGTGGTAGTGGTATTAGTGGTAGTGCTGGTGGTTGTGGTAGTAGTGGTGGCAGTGGTAGTAGTTATAGTGGTGGTAGTGGTAGTGGTATTAGTGGTAGTGCTGGTGGTTGTGGTACTAGTGGTGGCAGTGGTAGTAGTTATAGTGGTGGTAGTGGTAGTGGTATTAGTGGTAGTGCTGGTGGTTGTGGTAGTAGTGGTGGCAGTGGTAGTAGTTGTAATGGTGGTAGTGGTATTAGTGGTAGTGCTGGTGGTTGTGGTAGTAGTGGTGGCAGTGGTAGTAGTTATAGTGGTGATAGTGGTAGTGGTATTAGTGGTAGTGCTGGTGGTTGTGGTAGTAGTGGTGGCAGTGGTAGTAGTTATAGTGGTGGTAGTGTTAGTGGTAGTAGTAGTAGTGGTACACAAATAACCCGCATATAGAAGAGAGGCGCTTACGACGTTTCGGTCCGACTAAGACCATTTCCAAAGCCACACTAACGAGAAGTGGAGCAGGACGGGTATATATAGGCAGGACTTTGTAAATGGACCAAGTTGGACCGAAACGTCGTCGTAAGCTTCTCTCTTCTATGTGCGGGTTGTTTGTGTATCGTTCCAGTCACGGTATTGTGTCTTTTTTTGTTATTTATTAGTAATAGTGGTAGTAGTGGTAGTAGTGGTAGTAGTGGTAGTGGTGGTAGTTGTAGTTGTGGTAGTGGTAGTGGTAGTAGTGGCAGTGGTAGTAGAGGTAGTAGTAGTAGTAGTGGTGGTAGTGGCAATGGTAGTAGCAGTAGTAGTAGTGGTAGTAGTGGTAGTAGTGGTAGTAGTGGTAGTAGTGGTAGTGGTGGTAGTTGTAGTGGTGGTAGTGGTAATAGTGGCAGTGATAGTAGAGGTAGTAGTAGTAGTGGTGGTAGTGGCAGTGGTAGTAGTAGTAGTAGTAGTAGTAGTGGTAGTAGTAGTAGTAGTAAAGGTAGTAGTTGTAGTGGTGGTAGTGGTAGTAGTAGTAGTAGTAGTAGTAGTGGTAATGGTAGTAGTTGTACTGATGGCAATGGCATTGGAAGTAGTAGTAGTGATAGTAGAGGTAGTGCTAGTAACAGTAGTGGTGGTGGAAGTGGCAGTGGTAGTAGTAGTGGTAGTAGTGGTAGTGTATTCGTTATTTTGGTGGTAGTGGTAGTAGTAGTAGTGGTGGTGGTAGTGGCAGTGGTAGTAGTAGTAGTGGTAGTAGTGGTAGTGGTAGTCGTTATTTTGGTGGTAGTGGTTAGTAGTAGTAGTAGTAATGACAGTAGTGTAGTAATGTAGTTGTGGTAGTGGTAATGGTAGTAGTGGCAGTGGTAGTAGAGGTAGTAGTAGTAGTGGTGGTAGTGGCAATGGTAGTAGCAGTAGTAGTAGTGGTAGTAGTGGTAGTAGTGGTAGTGGTGGTAGTGGTGGTAGTTGTAGTGGTGGTAGTGGTAATAGTGGCAGTAGTAGTAGAGGTAGTAGTAGTAGTGGTGGTAGTGGCAGTGGTAGTAGTAGTAGTAGTAGTATTGGTAGTAGTAGTAGTAGTAGTAGAGGTAGTAGTGTAGTGGTGGTAGTGGTAGTAGTAGTAGTAGTAGTAGTAGTGGTAATGGTAGTAGTTGTACTGCTGGTAGTGGCAGTGGTAGTAGTAGTAGTAGTAGTAGAGGTAGTAGTTGTAGTGGTGGTAGTGGTAGTAGTAGTAGTAGTAGTAGTAGTAGTAGTGGTAATGGTAGTAGTTGTACTGCTGGTAGTGGCAGTGGTAGTAGTAGTAGTGGTAGTAGTGGTAGTGGTAGTCGTTATTTTGGTGGTAGTGGTAGTAGTAGTAGTGGTGGTGGTAGTGGCAGTTGTAGTAGTAATAGTGGTAGTAGTGGTAGTGGTATCGTTATTTTGGTGGTAGTGGTTAGTAGTAGTAGTGGTGGTGGTAGTGGCAGTAGTAGTAGTGTAGTGGTAGTAGTGGTAGTGGTAGTCGTTATTTTGGTGGTAGTGGTAGTAGTAGTAGTGGTAGTAGTAGTAGTGGTGGTTGGTAGTGGCAGTGGTAGTAGTAGTAGTGGTAGTAGTGGTAGTGGTAGTCGTTATTTTCGTGGTAGTGGTAGGTAGTAGTAGTGGTGGTGGTAGTGGCAGTGGTAGTAGTAGTAGTGGTAGTGGTAGTCGTTATTTTGGTGGTAGTAATAGTAGTAGTAATGACAGTAGTGTAGTAATGTAGTTGTGGTAGTGGTAGTGGTAGTCGTTATTTTGGTGGTAGTGGTAGTAGTAGTAGTAATGACAGTAGTGTAGTAATGTAGTGGTAGTAGTGGTAGTGGTAGTCGTTATTTTGGTGGTAGTAGTAGTAGTAGTAGTAGTAATAGTAGTAGTAGTATAGTAGTAGTAGTAGTAGTAGTAGTAGTAGTAGTAGTAATGGCAGTAGTGGTAGCAATAGTAACGTACAATAAGGTGTAACAGTAGTTCATCTTCTTAGTTACATGAACAGTCTTACAAGCTAAGTGTTGCACTCTAGTACGTCCCCTGGGGTGCTATACACCTTCCCTGGGGTGCTACATACCTCCCGTGGGGTGGTACACACCTTACCTGGGGTGCTATACACTTCCCCTGGGGTGTTACACACTTCCCTGGGGTGCTGTACATCTCCCCTGAGGTGCTATATACCTCACCTGGTGTGCTACACACCTCATCTGGGGTTCCATACACCTCCCTGAGGTGATATATACCTCCCCTGGGGTGCTATATACCTCCTCTGGGATGCTATATACCTCCTCTGGGGTGCTATATACCTCCTCTTGAGTGCTATATATCTCCCCTGGGGCGCTATATACCTCCCTTGGGATGCTGCTATACACCTCCCCTGGAGTGCTACACACCTCCCTTGGGGTGCTACGCTGGTCACCTGGGGTACTACACTGATCACCTGGGATGCTACACACCTCGCCTGGGGTGCTACACACCTCTTTGGAGTGCTATATGCCTCCTTTGGGATGCTATACACCTCCTCTGGGGTGTTGCACTGGGTGCTATATACCTCACCTAGGGTGCTACACTAGTCACCTGGGGTGCTATGTACCTCACCTAGGGTGCTACACTGCTCACCTGCAGAACATAGGTGTCCAGCTCTCCGTAAGCTTCATCAAGCTCCTGGTAGACAGCATCACACACAGCTTCACCACTCACTGGGGAGATAAACAGAACCAGTGGTAGACAAGAACCAGCTGGCAGTGGTGAGTCTATCAAAGATGGAGAATGGTAAGAGAAGAACCAGCTGGCAGTGTTGGTTCTCTTAATGATGGAAAGTCGTGACCTATCTGGAGGTCACACAAGAACATGACATAAGTGGCCTCAAATCTTTAAAGATATATGGAAGAACTTAGCATAAAGACACATGGACGAGCATAAATATAACGTAGCACTGAACGTAAGTTCGAAAACATAAAAAACTCAGTAAGGATCCAGATTCATTGCTCGGCAGATTACGGTCAACTTAGACAACATTTATACAGTGAAGAATGGCGGGACCTGACTAATGTTTATCTCACGGGACGTTTTATCTTCAGCCATAGAGTTGTCAGGAAGTGGAGTATTCTGGAAAGTAACGTAGTGGAGGCAGGTACCATACATAGCTTTAAGAAGAGGTATGATAAAGCTCATAGAGCAAGAAGAGAGTGACCTAGTAGTGACCAGTGAAGAGGTGGGGCCAGGAGATGTGACTTGACCCTTACAACCACAACTAGGTGAGTACACACACACACACCTGGGGCACCTGGAAAGAAACAAGTGTATAATTGACAACCAGCACGGTTTCAGGGAAGGAAAATCCTGTGTCACAAACCTACTAGAGTTTTATGACAAGGTGACAGAAGTAAGACAAGAGAGAGAGGGGTGGATCGACTGCATATTTTTGGACTGCAAGAAGGCCTTCGACACAGTTCCTCACAAGAGGTTACTGCAAAAGCTAGAGGACCAGGCACACATAACAGGAAAAGCACTGCAATGGATCAGAGAATATCTGACAGGGAGGCAACAACGAGTCATGGTACGCGACGAGGTGTCAGAGTGGACGCCTGTGACAAGCGGGGTTCCACAGGGGTCAGTCCTAGGACCTGTGCTGTTCTTGGTATATGTGAACGACATAACGGAAGGGATAGACTCAGAAGTGTCCTTGTTTGCAGATGATGTGAAGTTAATGAGAAGAATCAAATCGGACGAGGGTCAGGCAGGACTACAAAGAGACCTGGACAGGCTACAAGCCTGGTCCAGCAACTGGCTCCTTGAATTTAACCCTGCCAAATGCAAAGTCATAAAGATTGAGGAAGGGCAAAGAAGACCGCAGACACAATATAGTTTAGATGGCCAAAGACTGCAAACCTCACTCAAGGAAAAAGATCTGGGGGTAAGTATAACACCGAGCATATCTCCTGAGGCACACATCAATCAGATAACTGCTGCAGCATACGGGCGCCTGGCAAACCTACGGATAGCGTTCCGATACCTCAGTAAGGATTCGTCAGGCCCATACTGGAGTATGCAGCACCAGTTTGGAATCCACACCTAGTCAAGCACCTCAAGAAATTAGAGAAAGTGCAAAGGTTTGCAACAAGACTAGTCCCAGTGCTACAGGGATTGTCCCATGAAGAAAGGTTGAGGGAAATCGGCCTGACGACACTGGAGGACAGGAGGGTCAGGGGAGACATGATAACGACATATAAAATACTGCGCGGAATAGACGAGGTGGACAAAGACGGGATGTTCCAGAGATGGGACACAGACACAAGAGGTCACAATTGGAAGTTGAAGACTCAGATGAATCAAAGGGATGTTAGGAAGTATTTCTTCAGTCATAGAGTAGTCAGGCCATGGAATAGCCTAGAAAGTGATGTAGTGGAGGCAGGAACCATACATAGTTTTAAGGCGAGGTATGATAGAGCTCATGGGGCAGGGAGAGAGAGGACCTAGTAGCAATCAGCGAAGAGGCGGGGCCAGGAGCTGTGACTCGACCCCTGCAACCACAAATAGGTGAGTACAAATAGGTGAGTACAAAGCCCTGAGAAACAATAACACTACAAATAATTTCCCTTTGTTGGTCCTGACAAGAGAAATAGCAATTAAAACATCAAAGTAATGACCATTACACTTTATTTCCCATTAGTATATACGAATTTATCCAATGGTTACGATATATTTAATTCGCCTTAAGTCCGAAAATATCATTCTGAGCAAATGGAAGAGTCATCATCCACATATCTAAATAATTGATCAGGCAGTAAAGCCTGTGATAACAATTCAATCTCAGAGAATTCTATAAAAATAAATGGCCAAGATTATGCCAGTGGATCTCCCATGGTAATACCGTAGATCTGTCTAAAAGAAGTACAATGAAGAGTAAATACATTAACCATAACACAGTAATATTGAACTCAGGTTCAACATGACTAGTTTGAAACAGCAGCTTATGGTTTCTCTGACCTTGACTCTTGTCAAGAATTAACGTCACTAGTGATAAATCTCCTTCCATCTTGTTGTGTTTAAGCTATCCAGTCGTTGGAGGATCCACAGTATCTAATTGTACAGACAGTATGTAATATATATATATATATATATATATATATATATATATATATATATATATAATATATATATATATATATATATATATATATATATGTGTGTGTGTGTGTGTGTGTGTGTGTGTGTGTGTTTGTGTATGAGTGTGTGTGTGTGTGTGTGTGATTTCGTGTATAGGGCAAGGAGGAATAACATCTTGTAGGAGTGAGGAAGAGCAGTTGTGAGTGTGAGGGAAGTTCGTGAGGCAGTAGGTAAAATAAAAGGGGGTAAGGCAGCCGGGATTGATGGGATAAAGATAGAAATGTTAAAAGCAGGTGGGGATATAGTTTTGGAGTGGTTGGTGCAATTATTTAATAAATGTATGGAAGAGGGTAAGGTACCGGATTGGCAGAGAGAAATGCATAGTTCCTTTGTTAAAGGCAAAGGGGGAAAAAAGGGTGCAAAAATTAAGGGGGATAAATCTGTTAAATATACCTGGTAAAGTGTATGGTAGAGTATTTTTTGAAACATTTAAGAGTAAGACGGAGAAAATAGAATAAACAAGGGGGCTTTGGGAAAGGTAGGGGTGTGTGGCCCAGGTGTTTACAGTGAAACTATAAGTGAACAGTATTTAGATAAGGCTAAAAGTCTTTGTGGCATTTATGGTTTTGGAAAAGGCTAGACAGGGTGGATAGGGGGCAAGTGCGATGTTGCAAGTGTATGGTGTGGAGGTGGGTTTTACTGAAAACAGTAAAGAGTTTTTACGGGATAGTGAGGCTAAAGTTAAGTATGCAGGAAAGGGGGAAATTTTTTCCCAAAAAAGGGCCCTTAGACAAGGATTGTGATGTCACAGTGGTTGTTTAATATATTATAGATGGGGTTGTAAGAGAAGTAAATGCGAGGGTTTTGGGCAAGAGGGGGGAGTTAAAAGATAAAGAATCACACATAAAGTGGGAGTTTCACATTTTGCTCTTTGCTGATGACACTTCCCTTTGGGAATTTCTGAAGAAATTGCAGAGATTGGGGAAAAAATTTTGTAGGGTGTGAAAAAGAAGAAATTAAAAAAGTGAATCGGGAAAGATAAGGTTATGGGGAAAACAAAAAAATTAGGTATAAAAAATTGGGAAAAACAGTTTGGGGGGAGAGAGTAGGAGGGGGTGAATTATTCAGATATTTGGGAGTGGACGGTCAGGGGAGGGGTCATAAAAGATGAGGTGAATCATAGAATTGATTGGGGGGAAAAGGGTGAGGGGTGCACTTAGGGCGGGTTAAAAACAAAAATTTTGTCCTTGGAGGCAAAGGGGGGAATGTATGAGAGTATAGTTTTCCCAACGCTCTTATATGGGTGGAAGCAAGGGGTGATGAATTTTTGCAGCGAGAAAAAGGCTGGAGGCAGTGGAGATGTCATGTCTGGGGGCAATTTGTGGGGGAATTAATGCGAGAATTCGTATTTTTTGGAAGTTAGGAGGAGGGCGGGATTACCAAAACTGTTGTCCAAAGGGAAAGGGTTTGTTGAGGTGGTTGGGCATGTAGAAGAATGGAGCGAATAGAGGACTTTTAAGGTGTATCAGTCTGTATGGAAGGAAGGCGGGGGAAGGGTCGCCTAGAAAGGTTGGAGGGAGGGGGTAAAGGGGGTTTTGTGTGCGAGGGGGGTTGGACTTCCAGCAAGCATGCGTGAGCGTGTTTGAAGGATGAATGGGGAAAAAAAGGTTTTTTTAAAACTTTACGTGCTGTTGGAGTTGAGCAAAGTAACATTTATGAAGGGATTAGGGAAACGGCAGGGTGGACTTGAGTCCTGGAGATGGAATAAGGGGCCGCACTCTGAAGGAGGGGTTTAATGTTTCAGTTTAAAAACGTAGTGAAACACCCTTCTGGGAAGACAGTGATGAGTGAAGATGGGAAAGTTTTTTTTTTTCGGGGGCCCCCCTCCTCGTTTGGGGAAACGGCCGTGTATAATAAAATTATATAATATAAATATATATATAATATATAAATATATATTATAAAATATAATATAAATTTTTATATATTATTATAAATATAAATAATATAATAATATAATAAAAATAATATAAAATATATTTAAATATATATATATATAAAATTTAAAAAAAGAGAGAGAGAGAGAGAGAGAGAGAGAGACAATAAAAACTAAAAATGGGGATTGTTTATACTTATAATCAAACAGTAGAGAGTAAATCTCGCCCTTCTATTACTGCAGATAAAACTTGCAAGAACATACAAAACCTTTTAAAACCTGCAAGACCCTTTCAAACCTTGAAAGACCTTGCAAAACCTCACAAGAACTTGCAAGATCATACAAGACCTTACAAGACCTTGCAAGGTCCTGTATGAAGATCTTACAAGACCTTAAAAGATCTTGCAATACTTCATAAGACCTCACAATATCTCATAAAACCTCACAAAACTTTACAAGGCCTCTCAAGATCTCACAAGACAACGAAAATCCCTCACAAGATTTCACGAGACCTAACAAGCTATCACAAGACCTCACAAGACCACATAAGACCTCACAAGACCTCACAAGACGACACAGGTCCACACAAGACTCACAAGACATCAGAAGACCTCACAAAACATCAGAAGGCCTCACAAGAACTCACAAGACCTCA